TCGATGCCTGATTCTGCGCCAGAGGAATACAAGAAACTTGCTGAGCGGTGTTGTGATGCTGATCCTGATAAGCGTCCTGATGCATTGAAACTTAAGCGGGAGATTCACGAAATTATTAAAGATGTGGAAAGGAATAAATCTGGTGACAACGTGTGGAATACCATCTATCATAATGATGTAAAGCCGTTATCACGTAAATATTCCAACACACTCTTACCTACTGAAGAATTGCCTATTACTATACCAAGAAACGTGCAATAGATTGGATTCAGCTGCAGGTACGGTTACATGCTGGTACAATACAAATAAAGTCAATATACAATGTTAACACCGAGCATTTCTTGTATTTAGAGACTCAATTTCTTTTGAAGACTTTTGGATTCAGCGGGCTTTTGTATGGTATTCAAGCTTTATCCAATAGTTACAATTATATGATATGCTTCCTGCTACAAAGTACGGTTTCATACAACTTTATTATTATTTCCAAGCTATCCCGGCAAAGTACCAAAAGTATCGGGGATTTTTTTCGATCACTATAATTTTTATACTTTTGAAGCCAATTAATTGCATTATTTGAAAAAAGGTTATGATATATTTAGTTCCATTATTATGTTAAGGCTACAGTTTAATAATTACAGTATCGATGACACATACACTCACCGGGAAAAGGGTTGAAACCCCTTTTTCTTCAAAAGCGTTATCGTACGTATTTACTATGTGGTCACAATGATTTATGTACTTACATGAATATGAAGATAATTTTCGAGAATATATTAATCCTCTATTTGTAAATTAAATTGGTTTATATTCAAGTCAGTAATATATGAAAAGTAAAATCTCCATCGTTTGCAAGTATTTAAATGTATTTTACAATATGTTACGCATTATTATTATGTCATTTTGCGATAAAGAATATTCAGCATGTAGGCGTATGATTGGTTCATTATGTTGATTAGTACCAAGTATACAACAATGATAACAGCCCATAAGCAATGCCAACGATTGCCGTTGAAACTCGGTAAAAGTTGACCGAAAGGAATGACGGCCCTCATTAGACAAACCGTTAACGAACCCTGGTTCCATTTCTGGCAAAAGTTTAACTATCATCGACTGACGTGATCGGATGGAATGAACACATTATATAAAAATGTAATTGTTGGATCTCGATATTTTAAACAATGGATTTTCACATACTCAAACACTCTTGAATAAGACTTTTAGTTGCCCTTAAAATCAATCAACTATATAACGATAACGCAAATGTAGGGGACAATACCATATATTAAGAATGTGGACTATGCTGACAAATGGGGCCCTATTCATGCGGCTAGAGAAGTAGCTCAAGAAATACGTCAAAGCAAGGATAATCGCCTTTGTGAAACTCAGTCTTTTTACATTTACTTATTTGAGATAATTTTGAAGACAGATCAAGCGATTGGTTAAACGAACGTGGTCATTATAAAGAGGCTAACCGGAACGAGTTTGCGCAAAGTATGAATTATTAATGGAAAGAACATGTCGAGCATCCCATATGTCTTAACTTTAGAAAAGTCAAGTGTTCTAAATGTTCCGACCCGAGACTTGCGGGCGATAAGTGTCATCCGTCAGTAAAAGATGTTCATCCTGATAAGAAACGGAGTCATGTTGGAAATGTTCAACTTGTGCATTCTGGTAGCTCTCAAACGCAAACATATTAGTTGTTATGTTGCAGCTACCACAGAACAAGTGATGGATCATAATTATAATGTTGTGGCTTGGACGTTTCGTCTCCTTAGTTTAGGAATGGCAAATCCTACCAAACCCGAATTTGTAAAGGGATATTGGAGCTGCTGTGGAAATTTTGATGCTAATGCGGTTGGATGCCGATGGTTTTGTGATTCTTGTAAAAAGGAAGTTACACATCAAAGATGCGCACTGCACGTTTGTACAATGGGTGCAAACACTTTGATAACGTGATAGTGAAACCTTGCACTTGTGCTGGATATAAGCAACCATTAAACACGCTAGGTTGCACGAAGCAATGCACATATTGTGCAAAGGAAAACGCTAGCAATGGGTGTCTTCAAGTAGGCTATAACAACGTAGAACATGATTTACCAGCGTAAGTTGTATTTAAATTAAATGTAAAGCAAAGCGCTTAATTGGGTTTCTTAAACAATATCAATATATACACTCACTGGACAAAAGTCTACGTAATTTTTGTCGATCACAACATAGTAAAACATATGAAAAATCTATTTTTTCGAAGCGCTCTACTGTACGTATCCACTATGTGAGTCACAACGATTTTTGTACCGTTTTGAAGATAATTGATTGTACTTTTCGTGAAAAATGGTGATATGTT